CTACAGAAGGTGAGATAGTCTGGTGAGGGCCTGGCAGATGTTTCATTATATGTGGGAAACCTTCATAGAGCTACCAAAAGGGAAAGGAGGGGGAGAATGAGTGCAGTTAAAATTTTGGACTATAAATTGCAAAATTAAGATTCAAGATAAAGTAGACAGAAATAGATAATCTAGATAGGTAATCTACATGTAGACCTTGACTTACGACCCCAATTAAGCCCAGAATTTATGTTGCTAAGTGAGAAGTTTCTTAAGTGAGTTTTGTCCCATTTTACGACTTTTCTTGCTACATTTGCTAAATGAATCACTGCAGTTGTTAAATTAGTAACACGGTCGTTATCTGATTAAATAAGAACTCCTGTTAATGACCATAGAGCTAGTGTTCTGTAAAATCCCAAATTAACTCAGGTGAGAAAGAGAATAAATAGAATAGGATAGGATAGGATAGGATAGGATAGGGTAGGGTAGGGTAGGGTAGGGTAGGGTAGCGTAGCGTAGCGTAGGATAGAAGAGAGGAGAGAAGAGAAGAGAATAGAGAATGGGAGAGGAGAGGAGAGGGTAGCGTAGGGTAGGGTAGGGTATAGGAGAAGAGAAGAGAAGAGAATGGAATGGGATAGAATAGGGTGTGGTAGCGTAGCGTAGGGTAGAAGAGAGAAGAGAAGAGAAGAGAAGAGCAAATGGAATGGAATAGGAGAGGAGAGAGTAGCGTAGCATAGTGTAGCGTAGGGTAGAAGAGAAGAGAGAAGAGAAGAGAAAAGAGAATGGAATGGAATGGAATAGGAGAGGAGAGGAGAGGGTAGCATAGGGTAGGGTAGGGTATAGGAGAAGAGAAGAGAAAGAAGAGAAGAGAAGAGAAGAGAAGATAGAATGGAATGGGATGGGATAGGGTAGGGTAGGGTAGGGTAGTGTAGTGTAGGGTAGGGTAGGGTAGGGTAGGGTAGAATAGAATGGGATGGGATGGGATAGGATAGGATAGGATAGGATAGCATAGGGTAGGGTATAGGAGAAGAGAAGAAAAAAGAAGAGAAGAGAAGAGAATGGAGTGGCGTGGCGTGGCGTGGCATGGCGTAGGGTAGGGTAGGGTAGGGTAGAGTAGAGTAGAGTAGAGTAGAGTAGAGTAGAGTAGAGTAGAGTAGAATAGAATAGAATAGAATAGAATAACTTTATTGTTACTTTGAATGTACACTAATCGGTATACATTAAAATGAAATTTCATGGCATACAGCTCTCAAAGGGTCACCACATAAATATGAGAAAAATAAATAAATAAATAAATACAGAATTATTCCTATACTCACATATATCATATGACACAGAGAAACAACACTCTAATTCAGGTTATGTATACCTGTGCAAGAAAAACGAATCTTGCGAGTTTACCAGACAGATGGCCTAGGGAACAAAGCTATTAGAGAATCGGGGAGTCCTGCTAGAAATACTTCGAAACCTCCTCTCAGAGGGGAGCAACTGAAGCAGACCGTAAAGCAAGAATACTGCTACTTACTGCGTAACAGAAGGTGGTTAAAAAATTTAAGACATTAAAACTGGCTTCCATCAGCTTCACAAAGTCTTTGTCCTCAACAGAAAAGCGATGTCCAAAAGCTTGAGCACAGATGACATTGCAGACCGATTTCATGATGGGAAGGGAGGGGTCAAACGGCTGCCCTGAAAACAAAATTAATAGTGACATGAATTCTCCTTCTCCTGATTATACCAAAATTGAGGTGTCCGGCAGACCTTATTAGAAGAGGAAAGGTTGGGAGTCCTTATTTATTTTTGATAAACTGACTTTCTGTTGAGAATGTGAAATTCACAGGCTATAGCATAACCAACATCTTATGCCAAAAAAATTTCAATATTCTTGATTCCACCCCAAATTTCTTCCTCGCTGGAAAGTCAATCAGAATAAGCTGGAAGGGACCTTGAAGATCTTCTAGTCCAACACCCTGCTAAAGCAGGAGACTCTATACCAGGGGTAGGCAACCTTGGTTCTTTTATGACTCATGGACTTCAACTCCCAGAATTCCTGAGCTAGCATGGTTCAGTTTGGAAACCTCTCCCTTTCCCCTCAGCTTGGCTGGCTCAGGAATTCTGGGAGTTGAAGTCCACGAGTCATAAAAGAGCCTAGGTTGCCTACCCCTGCCCTATACCATTTCAGACAAATGTCTGTTCAGTCTCTTTTTAAAAACCTCCAGTGATGAAGCATCCACAACTTCTGGAGGCAAACTGTTCCACTGGTTAAATGTTCTCACTCTTAGGAAGTTTCTCCTTAATTCCAGGTTGCTTCTCTCCTTGATTAGTTTCCGTCTTGCCTTCTAGTGCTTTGAAAAATAGCTTGACTCCCTCTTCTTTGTGGCAGCCCCTCAAATACTGAAATACTGCTATCATGTCCCCCCTAGTCCTTCTTTTCTCTAGGCTGGCCGTACCCAATTTCTGCAACCGTTCTTCATATGTTTTAGTTTCCAGGCCCTTAAGCATCTTAGTTGCTTAGCTCCTAGCCTCAACCACCATCTGTTCTTGAGCAGAAGTCGTGACTCCAGGAGGAGACCCAGATTACCAGATCATGCTCTGAACGTAGATTGTTAGACACATTATTAGGCTTATTACACATAAGAACATGTTCTGTAGTTAGACTTCAATAAGATGTTTGAAGTCTAAAGTCTCCTTTTTGATAAAATAGAACAGTGTGGGATAGAGGCTCCCGTTACCAGACAGATTTCCTGCTGGTTGTATAGTCAGAGACAATCCTTAATAATTCTATCTCAATATGAAGAGTAATTTCCCCTGTGTGACGTGGCTAAAATAAGCGAGACACAATTTTGTGATGTTTGCCTTCTGGTGACCTGTCTGGTGTTAATGGCTCCAGTACAGTTATACTCAAGCCAACATCATCATCATCATCATCATCATCATCATATCACATACCCTTTTTATCTGCAAAGAATTCCACAAGCTGTTGGGCTTCCTCTTGGATTTGGGATTCCATGCCACTTTTCCCCAGTCCCAACTTCCTCATGGTAACAACACCAAACCGTCTTTGTTGTTTCCAGGTGTGACCGTTTGAAAAAATAATACCTAAAGCCATCAAGGAACACCAAAAAGGCATTGTTCACAAAAAAACCCCAAACCACACATGCAATTTATGCTGCTGCACTGAAAAATCCATCACTTTCCACCCAGCTTTGATACTGAATAGTAATCTATGTCTTAGAAAATGTGGACAACCAACAATCCTTATGGAAAACATGGAGCTCTAATCACATGGAAAGCTTTGACTGATACCGAGGGAAGTGATATTACAGAATTTCACCTTCTCTGCATGAAAGTTCTGTGGACACTTTTAACCTCTCAAATGCGCTATTGAAGTCCCATCTACTTTCTCTATGTTCAAGGCTCCCTATACCTCACATAAATATCGGAGAGAAATCTTTCAAAAATATTCTTATGAATGCAGTCAGATGGCTATGTTTAAGCCTACGCATATTTCCTCCATCATTTTCAAATGAGACCTGTTCTACCTTGATTTGTCTATGAAAAAGGGTTCATTTATTGATCTCGTTCCTCATGGAATCCACTCCATCCTCTCCCTCATGAGAGTAAATTGCAATTTCCCAATCTCCCAAAACCAAGAATTGCTTCTAAGCAGTTTTCTTTGTTGTTCCTCATCTATAGACAGACATTTTGCCAAACTACTTGCATAATTAAAGACAGACACGGAGAACTTTTAAGGAGGAGATATCTCGACCCTCNCTACAGAAGGTGAGATAGTCTGGTGAGGGCCTGGCAGATGTTTCATTATATGTGGGAAACCTTCATAGAGCTACCAAAAGGGAAAGGAGGGGGAGAATGAGTGCAGTTAAAATTTTGGACTATAAATTGCAAAATTAAGATTCAAGATAAAGTAGACAGAAATAGATAATCTAGATAGGTAATCTACATGTAGACCTTGCCTTACGACCCCAATTAAGCCCAGAATTTATGTTGCTAAGCAAGAAGTTTCTTAAGTGAGTTTTGTCCCATTTTACGACTTTTCTTGCTACATTTGCTAAATGAATCACTGCAGTTGTTAAATTAGTAACACGGTCGTTATCTGATTAAATAAGAACTCCTGTTAATGACCATAGAGCTAGTGTTCTGTAAAATCCCAAATTAACTCAGGTGAGAAGGAGAATAAGTAGAATAGGATAGGATAGGGTAGGGTAGGGTAGGGTAGGGTAGCGTAGCGTAGCGTAGCGTAGGATAGAAGAGAGGAGAGAAGAGAAGAGAAGAGAAGAGAAGAGAAGAGAAGAGAAGAGAGAATGGGAGAGGAGAGGAGAGGGTAGCGTAGGGTAGGGTAGGGTATAGGAGAAGAGAAGAGAATGGAATGGGATAGAATAGGGTGTGGTAGCGTAGCGTAGGGTAGAAGAGAGAAGAGAAGAGAAGAGCAAATGGAATGGAATAGGAGAGGAGAGAGTAGCGTAGCATAGTGTAGCGTAGGGTAGAAGAGAAGAGAGAAGAGAAGAGAAGAGAAGAGAGAATGGAATGGAATAGGAGAGGAGAGGAGAGGGTAGCATAGGGTAGGGTAGGGTATAGGAGAAGAGAAGAGAAAGAAGAGAAGAGAAGAGAAGAGAAGAGAAGAGAAGAGAAGAGAAGAGAAGAGAAGAGAAGAGAAGAGAGAATGGAATGGGATGGGATAGGGTAGGGTAGGGTATGGTAGTGTAGTGTAGGGTAGGGTAGGGTAGGGTAGGGTAGGGTAGAATAGAATGAGATGGGATGGGATAGGATAGCGTAGGGTAGGGTATAGGAGAAGAGAAGAAGAAAGAAGAGAAGAGAAGAGAAGAGAAGAGAAGAGAAGAGAAGAGAATGGAGTGGCGTGGCGTGGCGTGGCGTGGCGTAGGGTAGGGTAGGGTAGAGTAGAGTAGAATAGAATAGAATAGAATAGAATAGAATAGAATAGAATAGAATAGAATAGAATAGAATAACTTTATTGTTACTTTGAATGTACACTAATCGGTATACATTAAAATGAAATTTCATGGCATACAGCTCTCAAAGGGTCACCACATAAATATGACAAAAATAAATAAATAAATACAGAATTATTCCTATACTCACATATATCATATGACACAGAGAAACAACAGTCTAATTCAGGTTATGTATACATGTGCAAGAAAAACGAATCTTGCGAGTTTACCAGACAGATGGCCTAGGGAACAAAGCTATTAGAGAATCGGGGAGTCCTGCTAGAAATACTTCGAAACCTCCTCTCAGAGGGGAGCAACTGAAGCAGACCGTAAAGCAAGAATACTGCTACTTACTGCGTAACAGAAGGTGGTTAAAAAATTTAAGACATTAAAACTGGCTTCCATCAGCTTCACAAAGTCTTTGTCCTCAACAGAAAAGCGATGTCCAAAAGCTTGAGCACAGATGACATTGCAGACCGATTTCATGATGGGAAGGGAGGGGTCAAACGGCTGCCCTGAAAACAAAATTAATAGTCACATGAATTCTCCTTCTCCTGATTATACCAAAATTGAGGTGTCCGGCAGACCTTATTAGAAGAGGAAAGGTTGGGAGTCCTTATTTATTTTTGATAAACTGACTTTCTGTTGAGAATGTGAAATTCACAGGCTATAGCATAACCAACATCTTATGCCAAAAAAATTTCAATATTCTTGATTCCACCCCAGATTTCTTCCTCGCTGGAAAGTCAATCAGAATAAGCTGGAAGGGACCTTGAAGGTCTTCTAGTCCAACCCCCTGCTAAAGCAGGAGACTCTATACCAGGGGTAGGCAACCTTGGTTCTTTTATGACTCATGGACTTCAACTCCCAGAATTCCTGAGCCAGCATGGTTCAGTTTGGAAACCTCTCCCTTTCCCCTCAGCTTGGCTGGCTCAGGAATTCTGGGAGTTGAAGTCCACGAGTCATAAAAGAGCCTAGGTTGCCTACCCCTGCCCTATAGCATTTCAGACAAATGTCTGTTCAGTCTCTTTTTAAAAACCTCCAGTGATGAAGCATCCACAACTTCTGGAGGCAAACTGTTCCACTGGTTAAATGTTCTCACTCTTAGGAAGTTTCTCCTTAATTCCAGGTTGCTTCTCTCCTTGATTAGTTTCCGTCTTGCCTTCTAGTACTTTGAAAAATAGCTTGACTCCCTCTTCTTTGTGGCAGCCCCTCAAATACTGAAATACTGCTATCATGTCCCCCCTAGTCCTTCTTTTCTCTAGGCTGGCCATACCCAATTTCTGCAACCGTTCTTCATATGTTTTAGTTTCCAGGCCCTTAAGCATCTTAGTTGCTTAGCTCCTAGCCTCAACCACCATCTGTTCTTGAGCAGAAGTCGTGACTCCAGGAGGAGACCCAGATTACCAGATCATGCTCTGAACGTAGATTGTTAGACACATTATTAGGCTTATTACACATAAGAACATGTTCTGTAGTTAGACTTCAATAAGATGTTTGAAGTCTAAAGTCTCCTTTTTGATAAAATAGAACAGTGTGGGATAGAGGCTCCCGTTACCAGACAGATTTCCTGCTGGTTGTATAGTCAGAGCCAATCCTTAATAATTCTATCTCAATATGAAGAGTAATTTCCCCTGTGTGACGTGGCTAAAATAAGCGAGACACAATTTTGTGATGTTTGCCTTCTGGTGACCTGTCTGGTGTTAATGGCTCTAGTACAGTTATACTCAAGCCAACATCATCATCATCATCATCATCATCATCATCATCATCATCATCATCATCATCATCATCATCATCATCATCATATCACATACCCTTTTTATCTGCAAAGAATTCCACAAGCTGTTGGGCTTCCTCTTGGATTTGGGATTCCATGCCACTTTTCCCCAGTCCCAACTTCCTCATGGTAACAACACCAAACCGTCTTTGTTGTTTCCAGGTGTGACCGTTTGAAAAAATAATACCTAAAGCCATCAAGGAACACCAAAAAGGCATTGTTCACAAAAAAAACCCCAAACCACACATGCAATTTATGCTGCTGCACTGAAAAATCCATCACTTTCCACCCAGCTTTGATACTGAATAGTAATCTATGTCTTAGAAAATGTGGACAACCAACAATCCTTACAGAAAACATGGAGCTCTAATCACATGGAAAGCTTTGACTGATACCGAGGGAAGTGATATTACAGAATTTCACCTTCCCTGCATGAGAGATCTGTGGACACTTTTAACCTCGCAAATGCGCTATTGAAGTCCCACCTACTTTCTCTACGTTCAAGGCTCCCTATACCTCACATAAATATCGGAGAGAAATCTTTCAAAAATATTCTTATGAATGCAGTCAGATGGCTATGTTTAAGCCTACGCATATTTCCTCCATCATTTTCAAATGAGACCTGTTCTACCTTGATTTGTCTATGAAAAAGGGTTCATTTACTGATCTCGTCCCTCATGGAATCCACTCCATCCTCTCCCTCATGAGAGTAAATTGCTATTTCCCAATCTCCCAAAACCAAGAATTGCTTCTAAGCAGTTTTCTTTGTTGTTCCTCATCTATAGACAGACATTTTGCCAAACTACTTGCATAATTAAAGACAGACACCGAGAACTTTTAAGGAGGAGATATCTCGACCCTCTTTCTACCAAACTATCTAAACTTTGCTGTCTCTTGGTCCTCTGGACCCCTCCCTCCTGGGATTCCAGACTGGGCCTGTGACAATTCGCCACAGTCAACTCATCATGGCCAACTCACAATGGCCAAGTTGCCACGGCCATTTGCCACAGCCAACTCGCTGTGGGACAACTCGTCGTGCCACTTCGCCACAGGACAACTCACTGGGGGACAAGAGTTATACTAATATCAAAGAAATGGTGGGATAGAATCATTAAAGAAAGGATGCAAAAGGAGGGACAGAATGAAATGTGAATGGCAAAAATTAAAATATTTTTTATTTATTTTAAATAATTAAATAGAATTGTTAAATTGTCCCATAGTGAGTTCTCCCACGGCAAGCTGGCTGTGGTGAGTGGTCCAGCAATGAGTTGGCTGTAGTGAGTTGGCCATGGTGTGTTGGCCGTGGTGAATTGGCCATGGTGAGTTGTCCGTGGTGTGTTGTCCGTGGTGTGTTGTCCGTAGTGAGTTGGCCGTGGTAAGTTGGCCGTGGTGAGTTGGCCGTGGTGTGTTGGCCGTGGTGTGTTGTCCGTAGTGAGTTGGCCGTGGTGAGTTGGCTGTGGTGAGTTGGCTGTGGTTAGTTGGCCGTGGTTAGTTGGCCGTGNTGATCTCGTTCCTCATGGAATCCACTCCATCCTCTCCCTCATGAGAGTAAATTGCAATTTCCCAATCTCCCAAAACCAAGAATTGCTTCTAAGCAGTTTTCTTTGTTGTTCCTCATCTATAGACAGACATTTTGCCAAACTACTTGCATAATTAAAGACAGACACGGAGAACTTTTAAGGAGGAGATATCTCGACCCTCTTTCTACCAAACTATCTAAACTTTGCTGTCTCTTGGTCCTCTGGACCCCTCCCTCCTGGGATTCCAGACTGGGCCTGTGACAATTCGCCACAGTCAACTCACAATGGCCAAGTTGCCACAGCCATCTTGCCACAGCCAACTCGCTGTAGGACAACTCGTCGTGCCACTTCGTCACAGGACAACTCACTGGGGGACAAGAGTTACACTAATATCAAAGAAATGGTGGGATAGAATCATTAAAGAAAGGATGCAAAAGGAGGGACAGAATGGAATGTGAATGGCAAAAATAAAAATATTTTTTAATTTATTTTAAATAATTAAATAGAATTGTTAAATTATCCCGTAGTGAGTTGTCCCACGGCGAGTTGGCTATGGTGAGTGGTCCAGCAGTGAGTTGGCTGTAGTGAGTTGGCCGTGGTGAATTGGCCGTGGTGTGTTGTCCGTAGTGAGTTGGCCGTGGTGTGTTGGCCGTGGTGAGTTGGCCGTGGCGAGTTGGGCGTGGTGAGTTGGCTGTGGCAAGTTGGCCGTGGCGGGTTCGCTGTGGTGTGTTGGCCGTGGTGAATTGGCTGCAGCAAATTGGCTATGTGTAGACTACACTCCACCACATTCTTGATTTTTTTTACCAACCAGGTGTGACTGCCTACATCAGTGGTTCTCAACCTTTTTAATGCCGCGACCCCAACCGGTCGTAAGTCGAGGACTAAACCGGTCGTATGTCGAGGACTAAACCGATCGTAAGTCGAGGACTAAACCGGTCGTAAGTCAAGGACTACCCAACCGGTCGTAAGTCGAGGACTTTCCCTGCCCGGGAGCGCCGCGCATGCGTGGTTCCGCTCCCTGCGCCGGCCGAGGCATAGCTGGCAAGCAGCAGAGACGGAGCAGGCCGACCACCAGCTGGCCCAGCCCAAGGGAGGTAAGGCACCCGCCAGAAAAGGGGAAAAAAATGGCGGACAAAAAAAATGGTGGACAAAAAAAATGGCGGACAGCCTTGCTTGGCGACCCCCGTGAAATGGTCGATCGACCCCAAATGGGGTCCAGACCCACAGGTTGAGAACCACTGGCCTACATCCTCACTATATGGTTGAAAAATACAGAGCAATAGGTACTTCATATTTACTGGCAGATATGAAAGCTAAGGAAAACTTGGGTTTCTTTTCACGAGATGCTTCTCCAGACGTCACCAGGACAACACTACTGTGGTCCATGTTGATTTCAGTGCCACAGTGCAACAAGACAGAACAGAGTAACTCCCTGCAATTTTGACTTACCCTTGGTTTTGGTGATGTCTGAAATAAAAGGTGTCACTGGGCGATCAACAAAGACTTCTGAAGTCTCAATCAGTGCTTCTTTCACCGCTTGGTATCCAGAGAAAACAATCAAATGGAAACTGCCTCCCCAAAAAGAATAGATGTTCCCATAATGCTTTGCCAGCTGCAGTTTGGAACAGGGAAGAACAATGTTCTCTATTAATACACCTAATTGCAGACGAATATGAAACTTCAGTTTGTTTCCTATTTCTTGCCTTTTACCTTCCCTTTTCACATGATGTTTGTCCAGAACTCATCAGGATAACCTGTATCCAACTAATCAAAGAGAGGCCCAACCTCGAATTAAGGAGAAATTTCCTGACAATTTTGAACCAATCAGTGGTTCCGTGTCCAGTTCTCCCTGTTGCTTCTTGACCCGCATATAGGTTTCTCAAGAGACAAATAAGATGGTACGGTACTCCCATCTCTTTAAGAACTTGCCACAGTTTGTTGTGATCCACACAATCAAAGGCTTTAGCATAGTCAATGAAGCAGAAGTAGATGTTTTTCTGGCACTCCCTAGCTTTCTCCATGATCCAGCGTATGTTGGCAATTTGATCTCTAGTTCCTCTGCCTCTTCGAAACCTGATATTTAAGGTAACCAACCGTCCTCCTTTATGGAGGACAGTCCTCCTTTTGTAAGTTCTGTCCTCCCTCGAAAAGTGTCCTCCTACATGTCCTCCTTTTTGATATTTGAAGACTAATCTGCAGGGCTTTTTTTTCTCATAGAACGCTCAGAATGGCATTCCGGCACCTTTTTTTGATGGTTTTTTTTTCAACTTTTGCATGAGCTGTGCTACTCCCCCTATTGGCTTTCGAAAGCCAATAGGAATTGCTGCTGAGCACACCAAGACACCCGGCCGGTAAACTTTGCACATGCAAGTTGTCTGCAGCGAAGGTGAATTGGCAGGAACTTTGCACCCCTCCCTGCTACCCAACTACACCATCTCCTAGTTAGTTCCGAAGATACCTGGAGGAGACTGGAGCAGTAAGTTTCTCTTGATCTTCAGCTCTGCTAGGGCAATAATGGCTGCGGGCGCAAGAGGCAGGGGCGGCAGGAGTGCTGCGGGCGGGGGTGTGAGGGGCGGCAGCGGCCGGCTGCCCCCCGTGCTGTGGGAGCTGCAGGGCCCTCTCTACACAGGGCTGCGCAGGGTGGGCGGTGGTGCTGGCGGAGTGGCTGCAAGCGGGGTGTGTCGACAGCGGGCTGCCCCCCGGAGCCGGAGCTGGCACAGCTGGTGCTTTGGGAGCCGCAGGGCTCGCTCTACACGGCGGGGCAGCGGTGCTGGTGGGGCGGCTGCGGGCGGGGGCGCGGCGGGTGGTTGACCTTCCATGGGCCAGGCCAGCTTTTACGATATTTTTTTCTTCAATTTATTTGTGTCATCCTTTTCATTGTAAAAAAGTAGGTCACCTTACGATATTACAACTTCTTATTGTCTAAAAGAGACTTGGCTTGAAGTCCAGACTGTAGATAAGACTTTTGCAACCTTGGCAGATACCATCTGTGAGAAACCCAGCTGTGTTTTATACTCAGTGACGATATTATTTTCATTCTCTGATTGTAAAGCTTTTAATTTAACACACCACTAAGAGAACATGGAAGAAGATCAGGAACAGATTCTCTTTATGTTGAAAGCAATTTATGAAACTATTCGTACAGCTAATCATTAAGACCCATAATCATAGACTTTTTTTGACACTGGCAAAATAATGGCCACCTTAAAACACGATGGGACCACTGCCTGCTGCAGTGAAAGATTGAAAATATCTGTAACAACACAAGCCAACTCGTCTGCACATTCCCTAAGAATACACACAGTGATATTATCTGGGCCTGCTGCTTTCCAAATGTTAACTTTCTGCAATGTCCACCGGACAAAGGTAACATCAAAGCTAAACACTTGCTTGTTAAGATGGGAGACAGGGCTGCTAAATAGGACCCAGCCGTGTGCTGCAGCTGCCAAAAAAGCCAACACAGTGCTAGGCTGCATTAACAGAGGAATAGAATCAAGATCACGTGAAGTATTAATACCACTTTACAATGCCTTGGTAAGGCCACACTTGGAATACTGCATCCAGTTTTGGTCACCACNATGTAAAAAAGATGTTGAGACTCTAGAAAGAGTACAGAGAAGAGCAACAAAGGTGATTAGGGGACTGGAGGCTAAAACATATAAGGAACGGTTGCTGGAATTGGGTATGTCTAGTTTAACAAAGAGAAGGACGAGGGGGGGGACATGATAGCAGTGTTCCAATATCTCAGGGGCTGCCACAAAGAAGAGGGAGTCAAGCTATTCTCCAAGGCGCCTGAAGGCAGGACAAGGAGCAATGGGTGGAAGCTAACCAAAGAGAGAAGCAACCTAGAACTAAGGAGAAACTTCCTGACAGTTAGAACAATTAACCAGTGGAACAACCTGCCTCCAGAAGCGGTGAATGCTCCAACACTGGAAGATTTTAAGAAGAGACTGGACAGCCATTTGTCCAAAATGGTATAGGGTTTCCTGCCTGAGCAGGGGGTTGGACTAGATGACCTCCAAGGTCCCTTCCAACTTTATTATTATTATTATTATTATTATTATTATTATTATTATTATTATTATTATTATTATTATTATTATTATTATTATTATTATTATTATTATTACCAAAAAATGTGTTCAGCTCATTTAAAAAGTCTGTGTCGCCTTTACCACACAATGGAGCCATCTGGATGCCCTGCCACATATGCCTGGTGTTTGTTGAATCCTGAAAAAAGTTCTGAATTTTCTAACAATGGGCTTGTTTTGCTCCTTTTATGGCATTTTTCGAATTAGGTCTGGCTCTGGATTTAAAAGCCACATTCCATGATTTCAACACCTTGTGAACCTCATATGTCATCCACAACAATGTTTTTAAAGACACAGACATCCTCAATGCACTTTTGAATATATGCAGACACAGTGGTGGCATAATCCTCTACATATGTTGGTTATCTGTTGCCACGTCTTGAAACATACCCAATGCTTCTATAGCAGTGATGGCGAACCTTTTAGAGACCGAGTGCCCAAACTGCAACCCTAAACCCACTTATGCGTCGTCGGGTGCCGGGTGGGTGTGGCCCATTGGGTGGGCGTAGCTCATAGGGTGGGTGTGGCAGCGGTGGTAACGGCAGACTGGGTGGGACTAAAAAGTTCAATCAATCAATTCCAACTTTGCAAGTTCTTTTTTTTCCCCGCGAGAGGTTGAAATTGCCTGACTGATTGAACCTTTTTTTTTTTTTTTTTTGCACACGGTGGTGGAGGCCTAAAGCGAAAAGGTTTCATAAAACCCAGCTGAAGGGCTAGGACTGGGGGGACGGCACACGTGCCCATAGCTTCCTCGGATCATTAGCCCTCATCCTATGCACACTGTCTGTCTGTCTTTGTGTCTTTTGTTCTAATTACAAAAGAAACATACCTCCAACTGCAAAAACTTCAGAGCATTCTCTACGATTACCCAGAGTAGAAGCAAAATAACCTAGAGTCATTTTTTTCTAATTAAAAACAAAACATACCTCCAATTACAGAGATCAAAAGAGTCTCCTAAACCTCAGAGCATTCTCTACGATTACTCAGAGTAGAAGCAAAATAGCCTAGAACCAATAGGACATTATGCTCTGGGAAACCTTTGAAGATTGATACGAAAGACATGGAAAATATTTCCTTGTCAAATTCCACGGAGGAGCCAGGGAGACTGCACCATGAAAATCTTGCTGAGAAGCACCCACATTTTGGGATATATGCCGAATTATCTATTCTCAAAGGAATCCCTTTTTTGTGAGAGATGAGATTTAACTTGGACTGATGGAGATCAAATATATCCAATTACAAAAAAAACAAACCCAAAAACCCAGCAGTAAATTATTTCTGTACTATCTTTAATTATGGACACATTCACAAAACACCCTCCCCAACTTTCATTAAAGCCTAATAGATCTATTCACATAAAAAAGAAGCTGAACTGAAGAAGCTTCTTGGATGACAAGCGAAACGTCTTCAAGGAAAAAGAGTGTCCAGTTGTGTTTGGTTCTGACTATGCCGTATTGTTTGAATCCTGTCTGCTAATTAAGCACACAAGCTAAGGCAGGTGGTGTGTACACAACCACTAGTTAATAGACCGAACGTGATTGCATAAATTGAAATTGCTCCAAAGACAAATGTAGCTGATAAAGTGCTTAATTAGGGACAGAAAGATTCTAGTTCAAGTCCGTCCTTAACCATAGAAATTCTCAATCATTCTCTCTTGGGCAACCTCTCCCACAGGTCTCTCATGGGCCTCTAAATACCATAAACAAGAACAAATAAAACCATCAAGTTGCTTTGCAACTTCCCCTTGGATGAAATAACTGGATGAAATAATGCAAAAGGTGTACCTTTCTGAAAGTCCTCTCTGTATAGCCAATCCCCAGCAGCCGCCACAGACTTCCGACCACAGGAAGTGGGAAAGGCCCCGGTGGGTAGCGTTTGCGTGACCAGATCTGTTTCACATAGGAAAGAATCTGGCGTGGAATCCAAAGGATCAGAAGGAACAGTAGCTTCAACATCCTCCTTCCTTCTCACTCTCCAGTCTTATCGTCCGTTGCAAAACTGGTGCCTGGAATACTTAGCTCCGATTAATGTTGAGCAGTCATGTGATGTAGTTAAGGTAAATTAAGCACTGGTAAAATATGAGCTGTGGTGGCGCAGTGGTTAGAATGCAGCGTTGCAGGCTAATTCTGCCAACTGCCAGCAGTTCGATCCTGACCGGCTGAAGGTTGACTCAGCCTTCCATCCTTCCAGTAAAATGAGGACCCAGATTATTGGGGGCAATATGCTGAAGGGAGAGAAGTTAAAAGAATTACCACCCAGAGAAGCATAGAATCCTGTTTTTCTACCTGGAACACCGACATACAAACTAGCAAAAACCCTGCAGAGGAAACTCGAATACCTGGTCAACGACTCAAATCAATAAACTCCCCAGAACACTTTCTCCAATGCATCCAACATACCAAGATCAACAAGGAAGAAATTATGGTCTCCTTTGACATCACCACCCTCTTCCCCTCGATTGACATCAACCTGGCTAACCCAAACCATTCACCACCTACTCACTAAACACCTACCCACAAGGATGATGCTATACCCACCATACCTACTAGGATGATGCCACTACAGAATACTCCATGTCCACAGAAACCATCACGAAACTCCTGGATCTATGCCTCAACACATCCTTCAAAGTCAATGGGAAAATGTACAAGCAAGTACAAGGTACCCCAATGGGATCACCCATATCAGGCCTAATAACAGAAGCAGTCATGCAATGACTCGAATCCATAGCTCCACCCATCATCCAACCAAAATTCTAGGCACGCTACGTCGATGACACCTTTGTCATCATCAAATGCTCCCAAATTGAAGAAACACACCACCCACTTAACAGCATATCCCCTGGGATCAAATTTACATGCAAAGAGGAAACAGACAACAGACTCCCATTCCTTGGCACCGACATAAGGAGACTGGACAATGGGGAACTGGAAACCTGTGTCTACTGCAGACCTACGCACACAGACCACATGCTCAGCTTCACAAGGGACCATCCCACTGCACACAATAGGAGCTGTGTCCAGACCCTCTTCAGAAGGGCCAGGACACAGTGCAGCATCACAACACTAAGAAAAGCAGAAGAGAAATGGCTGCTGGATGTCTGTCATGCCTCCGTCCGAGCCTGACTCCGAGGAAGACATGGAGTTCCCTGTTGAAGCCCAGGAGGGGGTGGCTGTGGCTTCGGAGGACTGTAGGGAGGAGCAGGCTGAGGCAGGCCAGGGCCCTTCAGGTTTGGAACAGGGAAGACAGAGTTCAGGCGAGGAGCAAGGCCCCTCCCCACCTGATCCTAGAGCAAGGAGAGCAGAGAGGAGGAGAGAACAATGGAGGCAGGCTCACTTGCTCAGGAGGAGAGCGTCCCGCCCCACTCCACAAGGCATACCTGGGGATTAGGATTTAAGGAGACAGTGTGGGGTGGGGCATTTGAAACAAACGTGGGATCTTGAGATTGTGTTGATTTGTGCTCTTGTAACCTGGACACTTTGTATTCCGGACCAGTTTGTTTCCTGATTCACGACCACAAACTACATTTGTGATCTCTTTTTGCAGTTTGCAATTCGCAGTTCACAGGCAAGCTGAGAGTTAAAAGGACTCTTTACGTTTTCTTGTTATCTGTCTTGCCTTGAGAACAGTGTAAGCTTCCCTGGCTGTATTGTTTGAACTCGTGCCAGCATATGTGGGGGCTTTTGGGTGAACATTGGCAGTGATTAAAAAGACTATTGCTCTTGCCAGCTGATTGCTTTGCCTCTGTTCGGGGCCCTGGGTCATCACAATGTCTTTCTCTGCAATGGCTATCCCACGGGTCAGCAGCCTGCGGCTCCTGAGCCGCATGTGGCTCTTTAAGCCTTCTCCTGCGGCTCCCAGCCTCCTCCGCCATTTGCAGAGAGACAGAGAGAGGCACTTGCGCTTCCTCTCTCTCTCTCTCTCTCTCTCTATCTCTAAAAAAGAGAGTGGCCTCATGCTGTTCTCAGACAAGCTGACAAGCTTATTGGACGGGGCTCCTGCCTTTGCTTCATCTCAGCAGGAAGCAGCAGAAAGCAGCAGCTCTCTCTCTCTCTCTCTCTCTCTCTCTCTGCACAGCAGCCTCTATTTCTTTTTAATTAAACTCTTCAATCAAGCTTCCCCCCCCCTTGCACACGCAGGTTTTGTGGCTCCCAGTGTTTTCTTTTCTCTGGGAAATGGGTCCAAGTGGCTCTTTGAGTGTTTAATGTTGCTGACCCCTGGGCTATCCAAAACCTTTATATTCCGACACACAGCACCCAAACCACAACAAAACACACAGCCAACCACCACACAAAAACTAAACCTACCATACACAAAAGGGTGTTGGACATGACAGTCAGAATTCTCCAACCCCTAGGAATAGGAATATCCCACAAACCCACAGCCACACTCCACCAGGAATTATTCAGAACCAAAGACAAGACACAGAAGGAGGAAAGAAACAATGTAATCTACAAAATCAGCTGTAATGATTGCAACCAATTCTACGAGGGACAAACATCACGTCAATTAAAAACCAAGATCTACAAACACCGGCTGGCAGTCAAACGCCATGATCCCAAATCCTTAATCTCTACCCACACCAACACCGAACAGCACCAGTTCAATTGGAGCAACACTAAAATCATTGGCCACACTACCACCCACCATGCTCGTGAGTTCGTCAAAGCCTGGCACCCCACAAGCAATTCCATCCACAGACACATTGACCTACAATCAGCTTACAACCCCCTCAGAGTCCAAATCCACCTCACAGCCAACCAGAGACAGCACCAACCCTCAACCATCCCACGCAAGCCTCCTGTCAAGGTATTGATCTAACAGCTAACCAGCTTATGTAATGTAAGATGTTAGGTAATGATGAGAATGACTCAGCAGGGTTTGTGTCTCTTTAAGAGCCTTTGTATAAAAGAGAAGGCTCTGCTGATGTGTTCCCTCTCTCCTGTTTCCTGCTGTAATTGTGGTTTGTTGGATCCTGCTATATTAGCACATGTATGTATATTGTTCCTGGTGTATGATATTGTAGATAGTGTAAAATAAATCACCTTTTAATACAAACCACTGTATACTGTTTTTTCTCCTGGGTTATCTCAGTGCAATAAGACTGTGCACACTCTCACAGGTTATGGGCCCAGAGAGAGGAGAAACCCAGTGAAAGCTTGACCCAGAGCCAGAGGAGTTAAGGCTTGTGGTTTGTAGTGGTTTGTGGTGGTGGTAGTAAGCAACATGGACTCCGTCAGCGTAATGAGAGGAGGTTTCATAGTATCTCATCTGAATGAGACAAACTACCTCTCTTGGTGTCTGAAAATGGAGATGTACCTGCGATGGGAGCAGTTGTGGATGATAGTTACTGATCCACCTGCAGCCCTGGATGATGGGGATCGGAGAAAGAATGAGAAAGCATTGTCCAGCATAATCCTGAGTTTGGAGGATAGCCAGCTGACACATGTGAGGGGTCTCCAGTCTGCTAAAGAGTACTGGGAAGCTTTGCGCAGTGTGTACGTGAGAGAGACTGCGAGCAGCAAAGTAACGCTGACTAGAAAGCTATTTAAGGCCCAACTGAAACCGGGAGAGAGCGTGTATATGCATTTGCAGTCCGTGAGAAAGACATTCCTGTTTACTCCTGGGTTAGCTCAGCACAATAAGACTGTGCACACTCTGACACCCCCTCACTTGACACACCCACAGCTGACCCATCACAAGATCCATCACTTGACTCACCCACAGCTGACCCATCCCAAGACCGACTGACCACATGAAGCCCTTATAAGCAGCAGAACGCCAACATTTACCTCCCGTAAACTCCACTGAAGATGTTACCTACCCTGATAACAAAACGTTCAGAAACCAACCCACAATTTTGGAGAACGAACCACCAACCTCATAAAATCCTAATTCAGGATTCCAAGGAGATTAAATTATTGCACTGGAGTTAGGTTCACTAGAAAAACAAGATGCCAGAACAGATTGTTCTTATCGTATTTTCTTCTTAGAGTCTTGCCCAATTAATTGAGGAATAGCTTTGTTTTTTCTGTCTCAGAAGGAGAATTATGAAATTATGAAATTATCATAACTTTAGCTCAGACACGGTCTTTCTTGAACTGAGCATTTGGAATTATTGTCTCAATTCTAGTAGGATGGAATTTGTTGAGACTATAAATCAGGGGTCTTCCAACTTGGCCCTTTTATGACTTGTGGATTTCAACTCCCAGAATTCCTCAGCCAGCCTCCATTTTGGTTGTTAGATCTAAGACAGGGGTCTTCCAACTTGGCCCTTTTATGACTTGTGGACTTCAACTCCTAGAATTCCTCAGCCAGGCACGCTGGCTGAGAAATTCTGGGAGCTGAAGTCCACAAGTCATTAAAGGGCCAAGTTGGAAGACCCCTGCTATAAATAGTCCTGAAGTAATAATTTGCCGAAAGGTGACAAATATTTCATAAGGATCACCGGTGATCTGTTACAGTGCTTATGATTCAAGAAATTGAACACCATCCCTCAACTGATACTCTTTATTGGTAAGATTCTATAAATTGATAGAATCATACTAAGGAAGAGTATCTATCAGCTAAGGGATAAACTCACATTTGAAGAGATTGACTTTACCCAGAAGAGTTGGAGGAAAAGAAATCTTCTAGTAGTAAGTGATCACTGTCCCGATGGAAAACATACTATACTGTAGTACAGTGATGGCGAACCTTTTAGAGACTGAGTGCCGAAACTGCAACCCAAAACTCACTTATGCATCGTCGAGTGCCGGGTGGGCGTGGCCCATTGGCTGTGCATGACTGCAGTGGTAACGGCAGACTGGGTGAGACTAAAAAGTTCAAACAATCAATTCCAACTTTGCAAGTTCTTTTTTTTCCCTGCGAGAAATTGAAATTGACTGATTGAACCTTTTTTTTTTTTTGCACACGGCAACGGAGGCCTAAAGCGAAAAGGTTTTATAAAACCCAGCTGAAGGGCTAGGACTGGGGCGAGGGCGCGCGTGCCCACAGAGAGGGCTCTGAGTGCTGCCTCTGGCACCTGTGCCATAGGTTCGCCACCACTGTTCTAGAGTCTCAACATCTTTTTTACATCGTGGTGACCAAAACTAGATGCCTTATTCCAAGTGTGGCCTTACCAAGGCATTGTAAAGTGGTATTAATACTTCACGTGATCTTGATTCTATCCCTCTGTTAATGCAGCCCAGCACTGTGTTGGCTTTTTTGGCAGCTGCAGCACACGGCTGGCTCCTTTTTAAGTGATTGTCCACTAGGACTCCGAGATCCCTCTCACAGTTACTACTATTGAGCAAGGTACCCCCTATACTATATCTGTACATTTTGGTTTTTCTTGCCTAAATGTAGAAGCTTACTTTTTTCACCATTGAATTTCATTTTGTTAGATACATGAGTTTTATTAAACACATGAGTTCAATCTGAGCTGCCTTGCCCGAAGTATGAAAAACGTTATAGCGTTTCCAAAATGTCATCTGTTTCAATGGGGTTAGTCTGCAGTTGCAGTTACAGGTAGTCCTCGACCTATAACCGTTCATTTAGTGACCGTTCAAAGTGACAACGGCACTGAGAAAAGCGACTTAAGACCGTTTCTTATACTTAGGACCCTTGCAGCATCCCCAGGGTCACTTGAATAAAATTCAGACTCTGGGCAACTGACTCGTATTTACGACGGTTGCAGCATCCCAGGGTCCTGTGATGCCCTTTTGTGACCTTCTGTCAAGCAAAGTCCATGGGGAAGCCGGATTCACTTAACAACCGGGTGGCTAACTTAACAACGGCAGAGATCTATTTAACAATTGTGGCAAGAAAGGTGATAAAATGGGGCATAAAATTCACTTAACAATTGTTGCACTTACCAACAGAAATTGGCAAGGACTACCAGTACTTTATGCAGATCTCTTGGCTGTAGCATCTTGTACTTTGTTTTATCGTTAATCCGGAGATAATCATCAGCGATCTTAAGGTCTCTTAAGAACAATTTGTGACTGAGAGACCATTACTGCATTGTCAGCAAAGGGGAGAGTAAGCAGGGAAGGGTGAGAATCTGAATTTTAAACAGGTGCAGCTGGGGACTTCATTTAAAAATTAATTAAGGCAGGGTGTGTCAACTTCAGCAACTTTAAGATATGGGGACTCAACTCTCAAAATTCCTCAGCCAGGCTTCGGCCATAATTTTATTCATGGCAGCCAAACACACTTCTATCTCCCTTGATTTTGTTTTGTTTCGTTTTTTTAAAAAAACCCTGCCTTTGGTTTTCAAAAAAATTTGATTGGAAAAAGTCAGAAGACTGGATTTTATTGGATGCTATATTTGGGTTATTTTTTGTATTCATTCAATCTTGATCAAACTGGTTCTTAAAATTACCTCTATGCTGGTCTGTCTGTCTTCCTCCCTCCCTCCCTCCTTGTTATAAAGGTCAGCTTCCTGAGGGCAATCATATTCCAGACACCAGCAGGTAAGAAGTAACTGTGAGAGAGACTTTGGAGTCCTAGTAAAAACGATCAATTAAATATGAGCCAGCAGTGTGCGGCGGCAGCCAATAAAACCTAATACAATCCTTGGTTGTATAAATGCAGGTATAGAATCAAAATCACGTGAAGTATTAGTACTGCTTCATAAAGCCTTAGGAAGGCCATACCTGGAATACGGCATCCAGTTTTGGCCACCACATTACAAAAAAGATGTGGAGACTTTGGAAAAACTGCAAAGAAGAGCAACAAAGACGATTAAAGGCTTTTAGTGTCTCTGGGTCATGTGATCACCTTTTGCAACCTTCTGACAAGTGTGGGACGACAGCACCCCCTCCCAGAGAAGGAAATATTTTGGGGAATATTAAAAAGGCAGAATATTATATTTCCCCAAAGGGTCTTAAAGGCAGAAACCCACCCATCCCCAAGTTTCTCTGCCCCGAGCAGAGGCCAGGTCTGTAGAAATGCAGATTTGATAATCCTTTCAGAAAGACTGGAGCCACCCACAAAATCCAACACAGAACATAGCCATCAGCCCCAGCCCCAGGAAAGCAGGACATGACCTTTAGGACATAATAGGATTAACTCATCACCATTAGAATACCAGGAAAGCACGCTGAATCTCAGGTCAACGTTCATGCCACAGGAACAATTCCAAACACAAAAGCCCAAGGAGATATAAAAACCCACCAATCCCAGCTCCATGTGGTCAGTTTTCCCAGAGCCTGTCTGGCTCTGCTCTTTAATAAACTACAATCTTCTTTCTACAGTAGTCTCCATTTTGTTTATTCCCGGCTTGGACTGGACCCCAATGAAGATTTTTCTTTCAATACAAGCAAAGTCAAGGCGGGAAGCCAGGTTCACTTAGCAACCGTGTTACTAACTGAACAACTGCAGTGATTCCCTTAACACCTATGGCAAGAAAGGTGGTAAAGTGGGACAAAATTTGCTTAACAAATGTCTCGCTTAACAACAGAAATTTTGGATTCCATTGTGGTCATAAATCAAGAACTACCTGTATTTGCCAGCAAGAAAGTTTTATTTCTATTTATTTTCTAAGCAGTGTTCCTGTAACTCAAATGTCCCAAAGTTACAGATCTACTGGTGATCCTATCTAGACTCCAAATATCAAAATATCTGCAGGAAGAACACCAAGAATCCAACTAGCAGGTGTATTTGTACAACGTGCTACGCTTGGTTACTCTGTTCCTCTGGTTTTAGTCAAACATATTCTGTCTGCTCAGAATATAAATTAATTCAGGATTGGACTAGAAGATCTCCAAGATCCCTTTATGTTCTGTGGGAAGTCAGCCCCCCAGAGAAGAAAATATAAAAAGGACAGAAAAATATATTTCCTCAAAGGATCTTAAAGAGGCAGGAAAACATGCCCAGTTTTCTTAATAGTCCCCAAGTCTCCCTTCCCCAAGCAGAAACCAGCTCTGTACTATAGAGATGCAGATGAAAATCCAGGGAGCTAGGAGATTAAGAAGACAAAGACCTAAAATCTACATACCCCATCCAAACTCGAAGAGTCATCAGCCCCAGCCCAGGGAAGCAGGATATGACCTTTGGACATAATAGGATTAACCCATGACCATCAGAATACCAGAAAGGCACACTCAGACTCAGGTCAAAGTTCATGCCACAGGAACAACTCCACAAACAAAAGGCTCCAGAGGGTATAAAAACCCACTCCCTACATGTGTTCACTCTTTTTTTCTGCCAGAGCCATCTTTCTTCTGGCTCTCTTCTTCAATAAACTGCAACCTTCGATAAACTGCAGTGGCCATGTTGTTTATCCCCAGCTTGGACTGAACCACGATGAAGACTTTTCCTTCCAACAGTTCTGTATTCTAATTCAGGTACCAGGTTAAGTGGGTCTATGGCAGAGGTGTCAAACTCAATTTCATTGAGGGCCGCATCAGCATTACGGTTGCCCTCGGTGGGCCGGGTAAGAGTGGCCAGGGTGGGCACAGCCTACTGGGTGGGCGTGGCTGGAGTGGGTGTGGCCTACTGGGTGGGCGTGGCTAGCTCTTCATCGTTCGCATCAAGGGTGCCTGTGGGGGCCTGGGCAGGAGTGGGACAGATCTGAGGGTCTCTGGCAGAAGGGGGTGGGACCGGGGCAAGCGCCAAGGCATGGTCCACTGGAAGAGTAGGCGAGGGCCATGTGCTGGCCACTTCCAAGCGATGGTGCATTTCTTCATTCCTCACAAACGGCGACACCTCCCCAGCATGCACCCAGAGGGTGGGGCCAACGTGGCAGGGGTCAGTCCCTTGCTGTTTCCAGACGGCCTTGTGGAGCTAAGACTGAATGCGTTTCAGCATAGATGGCCACCACAAAATTGTACATTGGCTCCCGGCTGGCCTGGGCCAGGGCCAAGGCAGTGGGGTCCATTCCCTCACTGTTTCCAGGATGGCTTTGTGGGCCACATGAAACCACGTCACGGGCCGCATCCGGCCCCCGAGCCTTGTGTTTGACATGTCTGGTCTATGGTCTAATGCCCGCAAGGTCCAGGCTAGCCAAGTGCACCACATAGAATCACAGAGTTGGAAGGGATCTTGGAGGTCATCTAATCCAACCCCCTGTTCGAGCAGGAGACTCTATGCCAGTGTTTCTCAACCTTGACAATTTTAAGGCATGTGGACTTCAATTCCCAGAATTCCACAGCCAGCATTGCTGGCTGTGGAATTCTGGGAGTTGAAGTCCACATGCCTTAAAATTGTCAAGGTTGAGAAACACTGCTCTATGCCATGTCAGACAAATGGCTCTCCAGTCTCTTTTTGAAAGCCTCCAATGATGGAGCACCCTGAACTTCTGGAGGCATAGTTACCCCTTTAGGGGTTCCCAGCCCTTCCCACGTTGCGCAAAACCTGCTTCATTCGCGAGTTTTGCGCGGCCGTGATTTCTACGGGCGCTTCTCAGATTTTAAACACACGAGCCAGGAAACAGCCTATCCGCGCAACGGAGGTGCTTCTCTTGTTTCTCTGCTCTATGAGAAGCAGCACAGGGATGACGAGACGTCGAGGGACTAAACCATAGAGTGCCACAGTCAAGAAAGTCTCTCGCAGCAAGCAGCCGGAGTCCTACCGCCTCTTCAGACCGGGCAGAAGCCGCCGCCCAGGACAAGGGTTCCGCCGAGCCGGAAGTGGGGGAAGACTGCGAATGGAAGAGAGGCAGGCCGCTGAACGGAAGTCGTGCGGCTGAGGGGAGGCGAAGCGGCTTCGAGTGACGGAGCGAAGAGGATGAACAACAAATTCGACGCGTGAGTGAGTCGGGACGCCGCGGCATTGCGGGACACGGCCGGAGGGAAGACCTTCGCGTCAGCCTCCCGGTCGGAAGGGGGGGGGGAAGCCGTGGCGCGTGCGCAGTTGGTCCCAGGAGCGGCGGGGGGGGGAAAGCGGGGTTCGCCGAAATACCCTTTTACTCCGGACTCCCGAAGACTCTAAACCTTTTTCGGGGACTTCCAGTGGAGCCCCTGACAGGCTCCGGGGCTTCGGCTTCCTCAAGCCCGGAGCCAAGGTTCTAGTCCTCATCGTCAAAAGTAAAGACCCAAAAGGAGCAGGAATGTCTAAGCAGCTGTTTTACGAAATGCTGGGGGGGGGGGAGGAGGAGGGAGGGAGGGAGGGTACAGGTAGTCCTCGACTTAGGACCACGATGGAGCCCAACATTTCTGTGGAGGACGTTTGTTAAGTGACTTTTGCCCCCGTTTTACCAACTTTCTTGCCGCGGTCGTTAAGCGAATCACTGCGGCTGTTAAGTTAGTCGCGCGGTTGTTAAGTGAATCCGGCTTCCCCCTTGGACTTTGCTCGTCAGAAGGGTCGAAAAAGGGGATCACAAAGGCCGGGACACTGCGACCGTCATAAGTATGAGTCAGTTGCCAAGCGCCCGGATTTTGATCACTTGACGACCTTGGGGAGGCTGCCAAGGTCGTAACTCTGAAAAATGGGTCATACATAAGTCACTTTTTTCAGTGCCATTGTGACTTTGAGCGGTCGTTAAAAGAACTGTTGTAAGTTGAGCACTGCCTGTATTGAGGCCAAGGAGCCGGACCTGTCCCAGGCAGGGGACGATGGGCTATAGCTCCTCCCCAGGAGCCCTTGGAGGGGAGACCATCAGGAAATCCTAGCAGGGGACTCGAACAGCGCCCCAAGAAAGGGCAACGGGGGTGTGGGGCTTGTCTCTCATTGCTGATGGCTGAAGGCAGCCTTTACTTTCTCCATGAACGTAACAGGCGATCCTCAACCTACGACCACAGTTGAGTCCAAAATCTACGTTGCTCAGTGAGAAATCCGTTGAGTGAGGTTTGCCCCATGTTACGGCCTTCCTTGCCGCAGCTGTTAAAGTGACTCAGTGCAGCGGCTGAGTTAGTCACACGGGTTGTTAAGTGAATCCGGCTTCCCCATGGACTTTGCTTGCCAGAAGATGGCCAGAGGTGATCACGTGACCCTGCCACCGTCATAAATATGAGTCAGTTGCCGAGCATCCGAATATAAATGACGTGATCACGGGGGGATGTTGCAACGGTTATAATTGCGAAAAATAGTGCCGCTGTAACTTCGAACAGTCACTAAGCGAACGGTTGTAAGTCGAGGACTGCCTGTGGCTGGTCACAAGCGTATGGGGCTCGTGGCAACCTTGGGGTCCCCGGAGGGTCTGGAAGGATCAATTTTCCCAAGCTCCGGGCAGAAGGCCTTGGGTGAGTCCACAGCCCTGCTGTCTATGGAGATTCCCAGTCATGCTTGTCTCAAAGGTGCTTTTTCAAAATGACTGGCCTCCAGAAGTTGTGGGTCCTCCCACACTGGAGGTTTTTAAGAAGAGATTGGAAAGCCATTTATCTGGAATGATATATAGGGTCTCCTTCTCGAGCAGGGGGTTGGACTAGAAGACCTCCAAGGTCCCTTCCAACTCTGGTGTTCGGTTAAAAGACAACTGGACTATGTGTTTCCTTGAAGGAGGAGGAGACATTTCACTTCTCATCCAAGAAGCTTCAAAACCAAATGCACAGGTGTAATATAGGTTAGGGGTGTCAAACTGCTGGCCCGCGGGCCGGATGCACCATAGCGAAACTGCGCCCACCTCATTGCCAGCAATGGCAAAAAAAGTCACGATACGTCATGACACATCACGTGACGTTGCAAGTTTGACACCCCTGGTATAGGGGTACCTTGCTCAATAGTAGCAACTGTGAGAAGGATCTCAGAGTCCTAGTGGACGATCCCTTAAATATGAGCCAGCCGTGTGCTGCAGCTGCCGAAAAAGCCAACCCAGTGCTAGGCTGCATTAACAGAGGGATAGAATCAAGATCAGGTGAAGAGTTAATACCACTTTACAAGGCTTTGGTAAGGCCACACTTGGAATACTGCATCCAGTTTTGGTCACCACGAAGTAAAGAAGATGTTGAGACTCTAGAAAGTGCAGAGAAGAGCAACAAAGATGATTAGGGGACTGGAGGCTAAAACATACTGTTGCTGGAATTGGGTATGTCTAGTTTAATGAAGAAAAGGATGAGGGGGGACAGGATAGCTGTGTTCCAACATCTCGGGCTGCCCCAAAGAAGAGGGAATCAAGCTATTCTCCAAAGCCCCTGAAGGCAGGACAAGAAGCAACGGATGGAAACTCATCAAGGAGAGAAGCAACCTAGAACTAAGGAGAAACTTCCTGACAGTTAGAACAATTAACCAGTGGAACAACCTGCCTCCAGAAGCGGTGAATGCTCCAACACTGGAGGTTTTTAAGAAGAGACTGGACAGCCATTTGTCTGAAACGGTATAGGGTTTCCTGCCTGAGCAGGGGGTTGGACTATAAGACCTCCAAGGTCCCTTCCAACTTTATTATATTATTAGTATTAGTATTGTCCGTCCACCGCTCCCACCACCCCTATATCCTGTCACAACTAATCTTTCCATTTCCCCCCTCTCCATCCAGCCAGAACTGATTAACCTTTTTGGATGAGAAGCAAAATGTCTTCCTCAAAGGAAAACACACTCCAATTGCCTTTCAAAAAAAAAAATGTTAAATGAGAAATTGTTCTGGCTTGTTATTTATGTTGGCTGGCATGAACACAGCTTTCTTATTTATATTGGCTGGCATTAGCACAGCTTTCTAGTCCTTGTTAAATACCTTAAGGGGTAACAGATATGAACAGATATGAACATATAAAGAATGGTTGCAGAATTTGGGTTTGTCTGGGGGGGGACATGATAGCAGTATTGCAGTATTTGAGAGGAGGGGGTCAACTGGTTTTCCAAAGCACCAGAGGGCAGGACAAGAAACAATGGATGGAAAGTAATCAAGGAGAGAAGCAACCTGGAATTAAGGAGGAACTTCCTAACAGTGAGGACAATTAACCAGTGGAACAGCTGGCCTCCAGAAGTTGTGGGTGCTTCATCACTGGAGGTTTTTAAGAAGAGACTGGACAGCCACTTGTCTGAAATAGTATAGGGTTCCTGCCTGAGCAGGGGGTTGGACTCGATGACCTCCAAGATCCCTTCCAGCTCTGTTCTAATTGAAATTGAAGATGCCAAGGAACCTTTTCTTCTTAATAACTATAGTGTATCAGAGAGATTTTTATAGCTATGCCTGTTGAAGCGACTACTTCCATGTAATAATTAGGCCAACTATTCTTTGCAGGGGTTGCTTTATTTTATAGTCATCTGTATTACCCATAATTGACTAAGACTGAGTTGTTGTTTTTTCCTGGCAAAGTATATGGCAAACAAAACATTCAACAGCCAGAATGTTGATAAATCAGGCACCGCTTTCTTTCCTCAAGAAAGTTTCCGAAGTTCCTTTATCTCCCAACAACAAAGATTTATTTGCTATGTCTTCAGTTGTCGAGCTTTCTGCCCTGAGGTATTATTTGCTACCCAAATTGAGAGATGAGAACATTTTTTTAAATGTTTTGCTCGTTCAGATAAATTCAGGTTTAACACGTAAAACAGAAACCTGCTTGGGAATGGATGCATATGCTTTAAAGCAGGGGTCTTCAAACTTGGCCCTTTTACGACTTGCGGACTTCAACTCCCAGAATTCCTCAGCCAGCCTCCATTTTGTTTGTTAGATTTAAGGCAGGGGTCTTCAAACTTGGCCCTTTTACGACTTGTGGAATTCAACTCCCAGAATTCCTCAGCCAGCCTCCATTTTGTTTGTTAGATTTAAGGCAGGGGTCTTCAAACTGGGCCCTTTTATGACTTGTGGACTTCAACTCCCAGAATTCCTCAGCCAGCCTCCATTTTATTTGTTAGATTTAAGACAGGGGTCTTCAAACTTGGTCCTTTTATGACTTGTGGACTTCAACTCCCAGAATTCCTCAGCCAGGCACGAGTGCCTGGCTGAGGAATTCTGGGAGTTGAAGTCCACAAGTCATAAAAGGGCCAAGTTTGAAGACCCCTGCTTTAAAGGGGACGCCACAAAGTTAAATTTCTCAACGCTGTGCTGGACTACTCTGCCCATATGACAAATCTGACAAAGGTGTTTTTTTTTTTAACAGAAGATAAAATATCCCCAAAGAAGAGAGAGAAAGGAATGTAAAACTAAACTTAAAATAATCTTTTCTTCTTTCTTCTTCTTCTTCTTCATATGTTAGGCAACTAAGTAGGCTGGTGCATGTATGATGAGGTTATGTAGTGCTTTATATTTGAGAACCAGTTCAGCCTAGGGATTAAGGGTTAGAAAGCTGGAAGCTGTGGGTTCTAATCCCGCCGTAGACATAAAAGCCCACTGACTGACTTTGGGCCAGTCACTTTCCCTCAGCCTACGATGTCAGACTTGGCTGACAAACCAGTCAATCAATCCCTGTCACGACCAAAGGATTAACACTTGGTTAATTTAAAAAAAAAACAAAATACCACAACCTGCCTGGGGTGGGGGAGAACCCACATCAGGGGTGTCAAACTGCCGGATGCGTCATGCCGAAACCGCGCCCGCCCCAGCTGCGGCAATGGGGGGAAAGGTGCGATACGTCGCAACCCGTCATGTGATGTTGCGAGTTTGAGACCCCTGCACTAGATGCTTTGTGTATCATACGCTTCGAAGTACATGAGTGCTGCCAATGTAGTAACTGTCTTCAAAGCAGATGTGTATTTTTCCCCAGATCGTGTGGCTAACCTTTGTAGGTGCTCTGCGACCTTTGAATACACAACGGCTGTGAAGAATTGCAGGACAAGTGCTGAGTCTGGGCTCCCCTGCCTTCAAAGCACCTCGCTGGACTCAAATATGAAGGCTTGCACGGTCCCCAGCGGGCCTTTATAGCTTACAATAGCAGCTGGTAATGGAGGTAGAACCTACAGTCGTGGCCAAAATTGTGGAAACCTTTTGGAAAAAGTGTACAGTAGAAATGCCACCTTTGATTGAAGTTTCCACCCATTTTTCTTCTAATTTGTTTATCATTGTAGCCCTGTTCACTTAATAATACTATTTTTCATCGCTTTCTGGGCAACCAGTCAACTGTTTGCACCATTGCTTTAATTTTATTACGTTTTACAAGCTCACTAAATGAAAGAACATAAAAAACCCCCAACCAACTTGATAGCCATCACATAACACACTGACAAATGTCCTCCTCTCAGCTTCAATATAGAACATCGATAACTGAATCCTAACTGTGATCTGATTGGGTCATTGCCAAACAAAACGACACCCGATTGGCTCTCTAAACACTCACGCTCATTGGCTACAATCAGGTGAAGGAAAGCTACCTGAGATCAACCTAAGCAAGTTGTGCTTCCTTTTTCTGGTTATTTGGCTATAACTTTTCACAGAATACAGTACAGATAATTGAACAGACTTTGCTGCATTACATTCTTGATTAAATTATGTTTCCACTGATATATAATTTTATGGTACTACTCCAAAGAAAAAGTGGTGTTATTAGCCATCAAACCTCAAAAATACACTTTTCCCAAAAGGTTTCCACAATTTTGGCCACTACTGTTAAGAGAATCACCCCTCATAGATCGTCATTGGAAGCGCGATCTCTAGCAGCCTGCCTTTTGGGAATTTGGTGACCATCAGTAGAGCTCGTCCTCAGTTTACGACCACAGCTATCGCTAAGCGAAACAGTTGTTCAGTGAGTCTCGCCCCATTTTACCACCTTTCTTGCCACGGTCCTTAAATGAATCACTGCATTTTTAAATTAGTAACATGGTTGTTAAAGTGAATTGGGCTTCGCCCATTGACTTGGCTTGTTAGGTCGTAAAAGGGGATCCCATTTCGGACAAATGGCTGTCTAGTCTCTTCTTAAAAACTTCCAGTGTTGGAGCATTCACCGCTTCTGGAGGCAGGTGGTTCTACTGGTTAATTGTTCTGACTGTTTTATTTATTATTCGATATAAATTCGAATAATAAATAAAAATAAATAAATAAATAAAGTTTCTCCTTAGTTCCAGGTTGCTTCTCTCCTTGCTGAGTTTCCATCCGTTGCTTCTTGTCCTGTCTTCGGGCGCCTTGGAGAATAGCTTGACTCCCTCTTCTTTGTGGCAGCCCCTGAGATACTGGAATACTGCTATCGTGTCCCCCCTCGTCCTTCTCTTCATTAAACTAGACATACCCAATTCCAGCAACCGTTCCTTATATGTTTTAGCCTCCAATCCCCTAATCCTCTTTGTTGCTCTTCTCTGCACTCTTTCTAGAGTCTCAACATCTTTTTTTCATCGTGGTGACCAAAACTGGATGCAGTATTCCAAGTGTGGCCTTACCAAGGCCTTGTAAAGTGTTATTAAAACTTCACGTGATAGCTTGACTCCCTCTTCTATGAGGGGGAAGGTTCGTTCTCCGAGCTTGGGGGTTGGTTTCTGTTGTAAATATGAACCAAGTTGCCAAGCGTCTGGATTTTGATCACGTGAGCCCCGGGGATGCTGCAACGGTCATGAGTATGAAAAACGGTCCCTAAACGAATGGCCGTAAATTGAGGATTACCTGTAACAGTTGCAGAATGCTGCCCTCTGCATTCACAGTCTTGTAGATAATGATAATGTCCTGGTTCCGACAGATGAAACTCGTCAAAGAACTTCGCGGCATTGTTTACCTTAAAGAATGAGAAGCATAGCCTTGGCACTAACACAGTCAAAGCCAAAAACTGGACACCCCCCCAGCACATAGTATCAAAGCACAATTCCCTCCTCCAATTAACAGTCGTAAATCACATTCCCCAATTAGTTTGAAATGCAGGCTTCCCCTCCAGTTCTCCAGCCCAGCCAATTCTTATCATCTCTTATTTCAATAACCTTGATTCTCTCGCTAGGTCCAGTATTGTTATGTCTAGCTAAACTCTCATGCACATCACCTCCTCCCCAGCATCGTCTAACTCTAACTCTAAAACATAAGAAGAAAATGGTTGCATCTCCAACTGTTGTCAAAGCAAAAACATCCGATGTTAGCAGCGTTGATAAAAGGAGATGCTTGTTGATTTTTTATTTTTTTAAAAAATAATGACGCTGTAAGAATTGATAGTCAGCAACTCAGTTTGTATTCTCAGGTCAGGTGAAGGAGGAGGAAAAAAGAGAGGCTGAAATGGAACAATTTGTCTTGATGAAGGCCAAGCTCTTAAGTTTTAACTCTGCTGGTCAGAATTGTGGGAATAAATTAGTTTGCCTCTGAGCAAACTCTCCTTGAATGGAAGTTGTTATTGTTATTCACTCTTCTTGTTTCTCTCAATACAGGGCATATAGTTCCCCTTGCCATTCTCAAAGTCCTGTTAGGTAAGTTACGAAGGTCAGTGAAGAAGCTTTCACTGAGTAGAGATTCAAACTCAGCTTTTTCCCTTCACTCCACCACTCCATTTGGGCATGTACAGCAGTGGCCAAAATTGCGGGAACCTTTTGGGAAAAATGTCCAGTAGAAACGCCACCTTTGGTTAAGTTTCCACCCATTTTTCTTCTCATTTCTTTATAACTGCAGCCTTGTTCACTTAATAATACTATTTTACATCGCTTTCTGGGCGACCCGTCAACTCTTTGCACCATCACTTTAATTTTATGACGTTTTACAAGCTCAATGAAAGAACACACACAAAAAAACCAACCGACTTGATAGCGATCACATAACACACTGACCAATGTCCTCCTCTCAGCTTCAATACAGGACATCAATAACTGGATCCTACTGTGGTCTGATTGGCTCATGCCCAAAACAAGAGGACACCCAATCTAAACACTCGTGCTCATTGGCTACAATCAGGTGAAGGAAAGCTACCTGAGATCAACCTAAGCAAGTTGTGCTTCCTTTTCCTGGTTATTTGGCTATAACCTTTCACAGAATACAGTACAGATAATTGAACAAACTTTGTTGCATTACGTTCTTGATTAAATTATCTTTCCATTGATATATAATTTTATGGTACTACTCCCCCCAAAAAGGGGTGTTATTAGCCATCAAACACGAAAAATACACTTTTCCCAAAAAGTTTCCACAATTTTGGCCCCTGCTGTAATTGTCACCTGTGTGAAATTAACTCCTTGCAGTAAATGCCTCGGCCCACGCTTGTAAATAAAAATGGAACTTACACTAAATAATAATAATAATACTCTCTCCTTCCCTCCACTCCCCCCTCCACGGTGATGGGTGTTTTCTTGTCTTGGAGAAAATAAGAATGCTGCTTGGTCTAAGGGGGGGGGATTCTGCTTCCCAAATTAGTCCAGGAAAAGGTTTCTCGCAAAATAATTGTTGCTCTGCACTTCACATCCCCTCTCTCTGTTTTGCACTCAGAAATAAAGAAATAAACTGCAGCCTTGGATAAACCTGGGACAGGTAGCTAAAATGATTGCTAGAACTGAACTCTCTCTGCTTTGAGAACTGAACTGTCTGCAATTTCTCCCCGCGGTGGCATTGATTTAGCTTCTGATGTTGGGAAGTAATTTGACCGAACAGTTTGAAGATGAAAGAGGCCTTGGTGTTTTCCCCGCTGTGTAGGATGACAAGTTCTATAATGCACCTCAGGAATCCTTTTTTTAAAATAAATAAAATAAAATAAAAATATCTAAGGCCATCAGACAAAGCTATTAGTTTTTGACTTGGATTCCACGTATCACGGGAACGTGTATATTTATTCAATTTTTATAGCTGCCCAAGCCAACCAAGTGACTCAATGGTATAGCTCAGGGGTGGGCAACCTGGGCTCTTTTATGACTCGTGGACTTCAACTCCCAGAATTCCTGAGCCAGCATGGGGGAACTGTAGCCCCTTCATGACTGGTGGACTTCAATTCCCAGAATTCCTGAGCCAGCCCGGGGGAACTGTGGCCCCTTCATGACTTGTGGACTTCAACTCCCAGAATTCCTGAGCCAGCATGGCTCAGCTTGGAAACCTCTCCCTTTCCCCTCAGCATGGCTGGCTCAGGAATTCTGGGAGTTGAAGTCCACGAGTCATAAAAGAGCCAAGGTTGCCTACCCCTGGTATAGCTCCTGTAGCTTATTCAACTGTCCCTAGTCCGAACTCGGTCACGAAGGCTTTTTTTTTTTTAATCTCGAAGGAAAAGCAGGCGTTCTCGCTTTCAAGTTGCTTTTTGTCGTTCTTTTCTTTTTTCCCCGCTAGCCTGAAGGATGACGACAGCGGCGATCATGACCAGAATGAAGAGAACAGCACACAGAAAGATGGTGAGAAGGAAAAAAACGACAAAGACAAACCCCAAAGCAGTGCCAAGAGGAAGGTATGTCCCCATCTTTTCAATCAATCAATCAATCAGAAGAGAGCTGGAAGGGACATTAGAGGTCTTCTAGCCCAGCCCCCTGCTCTTTTCTCTAGAGCAGGGGTCGCCAACCTTTCTGCGTTGGCCTGGTGGGAAAAGGAGGGACAGGCACCTTTAGGCGTGGCATGCGCACACACGCAAATGTGGCTGAGCGTGCGCGCGAACGGAGCTGTGAGCATATGCACACAGCTGCTAGCACCAGCTCGCGGCTCTCCTAGCGCTGGCGAGAAGCTCACAGCTTAGTGCCGGCGCAAGGACAGCTGAGCATGCACACATGCATGTGTGCACTGAGGCCACAGCCCAGTAGTGCGCTGCGGCCCGTAGGTTGGGGATCTCTGTGTCGACGCTGCTAACATCGGATGTTTTTGCTTTGACAACAGTTGGAGATGCAACCATTTTCTTCTTATGTTTTACTCTTGGTACTGGTCCAAACAAAAAAAAAAGTGGTGTTATTAGCCATCAAACCTCAAAAATACACTTTCCCCAAAAGGTTTCCACAATTTTGGCCACTACTGTTAAGTGTGCTATTCTTCCTTCCTTCCTTCCTTCCTTCCTTCCTTCCTTCCTTCCTTCCTTCCTTCCTTCCTTCCTTCCTTCCTTCCTTCCTTCCTTCCTTCCTTCCTTCCCTTTCTTCTTCCTTTCCTTTCTTCCTCCCTCCCTCAACCTCCTCCCTTCCTATAGAAGGAGGGTATATAATTCTAAGTGCTATTGCTATTTTTGATTTGCCCTTTATTAATTGGGAGCTGTACTCCTGACTTTTGCTATTCAGGCAGTCTAAAACACTGAGCAGAGTTGGTTTGCTTAAACCCCTTTTGTGGCGTTTGTCAGACCAACTCAACTCCATCTGCTTCCTTTAAGATCTGTTTGCCTCCAACCAAGAGGCACATAAAGGCGTGTAAAGCAGAGTTTTGTGAACCGGCCTTGTGCAACGAGCCGCTTTTAAGGAACACAAAAAAAGGCCTCTGTGGAGCCTCGTCCTCTGCCAATTTGGAGAAACTCCAGCAAGCAGCGAGCACCGCTAATCTCTGACTTAAAAATGTAGTCCATTTCTGGCAGACTAACGGTCTGTTTCAAGCTATTAAGAGAGGTGGGGATTTCAGAAAGAAAATGAAGCTAAACGGTTTGTTCACACAGGGCGCCAGCGGGAACAGGCGGGTTCATAACTCTGGAAATGTCTGCTTTAGAGGAAGGCATCAGGATCAGTGAGTTGTTTAAATGTCTCACACACACAGGCTGCGGTTCCGGGACCGGCTGAGCACCCTCTGCAGTATAATTACACGTTCTGGTACTCCAGGCGGACCCCGGGGAGACCCACCAGCTCTCAGAGTTACGAACAGAACATCAAGCAAATCGGCACCTTCGCCTCGGTGAGTGCATTGCGGTCGTGCGGTTGCGAGGCGGCTTGAATGGGGTGGGATGTCCAGGCCAAGAAAAAATAAGGGATATAATAATAATAATAATAATAATAATAATAATAATAATAATAATAATAATAATAATATCCCAAAACAACTGGAGCACCACTTGAACACCATCGGCATTGACAAATTCGCTATTAGTCAATTGCAAAAGGCGGCCTTACTAGGAACTGCTTCCATCCTGCGACGATATCTGTAATACCATCAAACATCCACATCTGCCTATCCCAGGTCCTGGGTAAGGTCTCGATAGGTAGACAAAATGCCAAATCCAGTCTGAACATCTGGCTGACTGTGCGATGATCCATAATAATAATAATAATAATAATAATAATAATAATAATAATAATAAAGTCATAGAAAATGATAAAATTAAACTGCTGTGGGACTTCAGAATTCAAACAGACAAGCACCTGCAACATAACACCCACAGTTGTCGATAAGAAAGACAAAAAAGTCTGGATAGTGGACGTGGCAGTGCCTGGAGACAGCAGAATAGACGAGAAAGAACTGGAGAAGTTAACAAAATACAAAGACCTGCAAATAGAAATAGAAAGACTTGTGGCAAAGGCAAGCAAGGGTAGTACCAATAGTAATAGGCACCTTGGGTGCAATCCCAAAACAACTGGAGCACCACTTGAACACCATCATCGGCATTGACAAATAAGCCATTAGTCAATTGCAAAAGGCGGCCTTACTAGGAACTGCTTCCATCCTGCGACAATATCTGTAATACCATCAAACATCCACATCTGCCCATCCCAGGTCCTTGGTAAGGACTTGATAGGTAGACAAAATGCCAAATCCATCTGGCTGACTGTGCGATGATGATGATGATGATGATGATGATGATGATAAGTTGGAAGGGACCTTGGAGGTCATCTAGTGCAACCCCCTGCTCAGGTAGGAAACCCTATACCATTTCAGACAAATGGCTGTCCAGTCTCTTCTTAAAAACTTCCAGTGTTGGAGCATTCACCGCTTCTGGAGGCAAGTAGTTCCACTGATTAATTGTTCTCACTGTCAGGAAGTTTCTCTTTAGTTCTAGGTTGCTTCTCTCCTTGATTAGTTCCCATCCGTTGCTTCTCGTCCTGCCTTCAGGTGCTTTGGAGAATAGCTTGACTCCCTCTTCTTTGGGGCAGCCCCTGAGATACTGGAAGACTGCCGGCTTTCATGCCTAAGGCAGAACTAGAACTCCCTTTCTCCTGATGATTGTCCCAAAGTCACCCAGCCAGATTTCATGCCTTAGGCGGAACTAGAACTCACCGTCTCCTGGTGACTGGCGCAGTCACCAAAGCACCTGAAAGCAGGATAAGAAGCAACAGATTGAGAAACTAATCAAGGAGAGAAGCAACCTAGAAATTTCCTGACAGTTAGAACAAGGTCCCTTCCAACTCTATTATTGTTGCTCTGGTTATTGTTGTTGTTATTATTGATCATCGCACAGTCAGCCAGATGTTCAGACTGGATTTGGCATTTTTGTCTACCTATCAAGTCCTTACCAAGGACCTGGGATAGGCAGATGTGGATGTTGTTGTTGTTGTTGTTATTATTATTAATTGACAGAATTTTATGTTGTAGCCAACAAAGAAATGGCTCTGCAGGTGTGCCCAACCAGTTTGTGCTTCTCCAGTGTTGATAAACTCCACCACCTCTCAGCCTTAGCTTATACAGCCAGCTTAAACAGATCCCACCAGACAAGATGGGATCTGCAGTCTCAACCATTTTTGTTGTCTCATCTCTGAGTTGAAATATCCAGAAGAGCTTTTGTGTCCCAAACTACAATGTGAATTTTCAGGGGAGATTGGTTTGACTGATTCAGGTTTCTCTTGTGTACAAGAAAACATTTGTTGTTAGTTGCGAAGTCGTGTCCGACCCCTCGCGACCCCATGGACAACGTTCCTCCAGGCCTTCCTGTCCTCTGCCATCTTCTGGAGTCCATTGAAGCTCACACCTGCTGCTTCAGTGACTCCATCCAGCCACCTCCTTCTCTGTCGTCCCCTTCTTCTCTTGCCCTCCATCTTTCCCAGCATTAGGCAATTCTCCAGTGAGTCCTTCCTTCTCATTAGGTGGCCAAAGTACTTGAGTTTCAACTTCAGGATCTGGCCTTCTAAAGAGCAGTCGGGGTTGATCTCTTCCAGACTGACCGGTTTGATCGCCTTGCAGTCCAGGGGACTCGCAGGAGTCTTCTCCAGCACGATAGTTCAAAGGCCTCCATTCTTTGGCGCCCAATAGTCAATATATATTAACACATTTTGACACATGATCTTAAATACTATTATTACTACTACTACTACTGATGATGATGATGATAATAAATAATAATAATAATAATAATAATAATAATAATAATAATAATAATAATAATAATAATAATAATAATAATAATAAAGTTGGAAGGGACCTTGGAGGTCATCTAGTCCAACCCCCTGCTCAGGCAGGAAACCCTATACCACTTCAGACAAATGGCTGTCCAGTCTCTTCTGTACAGATAGTCCTCAACTTGCAATCAAAATTGAGCCCCAAATTTCTGTCGTTAAACGAGACCTTTGCTTAGTGAGTTTTGCCCCATTTTATGACCTTTCTTACCACGGTTGTTAAGTGACTCACTGCAGTTGATAAGTTAGAAAGCCGCTCGTTAAGTGAACCCGACTCCCCCACTGACTTTGCTTGTCAGAAGGTCACAGGAGAGGATTTACATGACCCCGGGGACACAGCGACCGTCATAAACACGAGTCAAGTTGCCAAGCGTCTGAATTTTGATCAGGTGACCCCGGGGGATGCTACAAGGATCGTAAGGATGAAAAACAATTGTAAGTCGCTATGTTCAGCGCCGTCGTGACTTTGAACGCACGGCTGTAAGTCGAGGACTGCCTGTCGTTTGAATAGGCAAGATGAGAAAAAAAAGAAAAGGGAAAAACTGGACAAACCGGTTCGATTCACCGAAATGCCACAGAGAATAGAAGTAGAAGGTTACCTAAATACAGTTTGGGAGGTTTACCGTGCAACCTCTTCGAAAGATTTAATCAGAAATAAGGTTTGGTCCCTAGAGGGCACCACGACTCTCTGGAACGGCTGGCAAATGTCTGCTAAAATCCATGGCAGCCTTTTTTTTTTTTTTTTGTTAACCACAAATGAAGGCGAGTATATGTGTCCCAGGATAATGTTGCAGGATCCACTTAATGCCACTTTACAAGGCCTTGGTAAGGCCACACTTGGAATACTGCATCCAGTTTTGGTCACCACGATGTAAAAAAGATGCTGAGACTCTAGAAAGAGTACAGAGAAGAGCAACAAAGATGATTAGGGGACTGGAGGCTAAAACATATAAGGAACGGTTGCTGGAATTGGGTATGTCTAGTTTAACAAAGAGAAGGACGAGGGGGGACATGATAG